AGAGCAGCAAAAAGAGAGAAAAAAATGAGTCTCAATTGATCTGAGACTTGAGATCCGAGAGTAAAAAAATTTAATCGGGCTTTGATACCATGACAAATATGCGAAAACAATTCATACCTCAAAAACCTTGCTTTGCTGAGATTTATAAGTGCCCTATATAAAACTACAAAGGAAGCCTTAAATAATATACACCAAATCTCTAAAATACCAAAATCTATCTATACCAAAAATCAATATTCACAAAATCACTCTAACATAGTGCTATTAAATTAAATGAGTCTGGCTCGGCTAGTTAAAGCTCGAGTTCGATTCGGCTCGTTTGATAAACGAGCCTAACTCGAGCTCATTTACAACTCGTTCGGTTAACTGGCTCAAAAAAAGAATTTTTATACAATTTTTTATAGTTCGGCTCGTTAGAGTTCGAGATCGGCTTGAACCCGACTCATTATTAGTGACAAAAGACGCGAACTCGAGCTCGATTTCAAGCTCGTTTATTTAACGAGCCAAGCTCGGCCCGGCTCGTTAAGGGCTCCATCTCGAGATCGAGTACCCTAAGCTCGAACCCGACTCGGCTCGGCTCGAATCGTTTACAGGCCTAATTATCGGACATTCAGTTTGTATGCATTGCAGCCTATGGTAAAAAAAAATTCTGGCTCGCCTGTGTCTAGGAGTCCATACACGTAATTTTTATTCATGAATGACCATATAAGAAGGGATTTTTGCATTAGAGTGCCACGGTTAAAACTATCAACATCAGATCTCGAATAGGCGAATACAAAATTTCATCCGCAGTTATCCCAAAAATAACACCAACTCGATTGTACCTCAACATGGACAAGTTATAGACAAAATTCATAGAGTAAAAACACCAAAGTTGGATTTCAAATTCCCAGTCAAAAAACACGTGTCACTTCGACCCCAAGTACCCTTCAGAAGACACATTAATTTTTGCCTGCAATATGCAAATAATAAAAACAAGTCAAAACCCATATAGAAATTTAAAACTGACAGACTTATGATCATTTTGCTTAAGGGTTGCAAATGAACATTAATCAATTCAACACACATGCTGAGGTGACAAGTTCAAAATCTTACTGCACATTTTTTTTTTCACCTCATCAATGCCACCTCATCAATGCCACCTCAACTGCAAAAATAACACAAAATTGACATATTGGAAAATTCAAATATTGGTGACAAAATAAAATCAGTCTCAAATGCTAAAAAATGCAAACCAAATCACAAAATGACACTCCATGGCTGGTTGGTGGATTTCTTATATCGTTTGATAAACACAAATTCTTACCGCGGGGGATACTGGGATGGCAGCACTGCACTCCATGGCTGTCTGCCCTTCGATTTCATCTTGTACCCGGACATTTTGGAACTCTTAGGAGCATTGATCGTCTTCTCCAAGTCCGCATCCAGCCACGCCCGCATTTCTTTTATCTGTGTTTGCTTATTCGCCTTGTCGACGTTGCAATGTACCTCGACATTGGAGTGGCTTCCCTTGAACACATTACCCATCTCCCAGTTTTCTAATGGGATCTTAAGGGCCTGATGCAGGTCGTGGAACGTCAAGGGTACGTCCATCGAGATACCCAACTCTGTATATCAATTAATCTGAAAGTAAGAATTATGGTAAAAAAAATAATAAATTAACAAATTAAGAAAATGTATCACCTGGATGGTTCACGAGCATCGTTCCCGCCAGTACTGTGTTCAGTTCCAAGAACTCCTTTGGCTCGAAAGTCGAGTGCCGGCCGTGTTTTCGCCAGATGTGTTTCCAAAAGTTATGACAAGCCTTTTTGTCGGTGCAGTCTCTCAGATTGTAAAAATACCTCATCATATCTTCTTCGCAATAGTCGAGCGCCTACAAAAAAGATGTATCATTAGGAATTTACACTTTGACNAAGGAAATTAGCAGCTAAACATCAGACAAGATATATCTGCAGGAATTTGACTTAAAAAAAAAAGAATCCCTACGACATTTTTAACATTATAAGTACCTTTGGATATGGCAACATCTCCAAGGTACGACTTTTGTTTAACATATAGCAGTATCTCAAACACACTAAACTTCAACGAACAATACTCTTATTTGAGGACTCACAAGGAAGTTTCTAGAAGGTTTTGAATTCAAAAGACTCCCTTTTGGACTTGTCGAATGTTAATGGACGTATCCAGACTGAGTTGGACACTGACCCGCCTGTGAATTGCAGAATGGATTTGTGCAGCCGAGGCATGGTCAGAGGAGAGAGCATACGAGAATGCTGGGAGGTTGTCGAGGCTGGTTTTCTGATGCTGCAGGTTTATTAGCATTCAGAGCCGCATTCATGACACGGCAGGTTCAATGCATCTCATAAACCAGAATTTGGTGGCATCAAGTTAACGGCAAGCCGACTTGGTGGTGATATCATCTGATTTTATTTATTCATATTATTTTTCTCTATCGTATTTGGTTTTCCTCGGAAGGGGCATACATGCTTGGTTTATAAATAAAGAAAATGAGATACAAAACATAAAATTATACAAGTTCCAATTACTGTCAAATGCAAATGCAAAATAAAGTAACTGGAATATAATGAGCTTGTTGACAATAAGGTAACTGGAAAACAGTGAGCTTGCTGACATGTGTTTTGGTCGGGTGCATGCAGGTACATTGTTACCGATTGCGGAAATGGCTGCCTTGGCTTTGAACTCAGGTGTCGTATAAGTTTCTGAGTTTTCCTTAGGACTCATCAAAAACTATATTGAAGCCCAAATTTCAAATATACTGCTAGTTGAGCTTTGACCCCACTCTTGATGATGCAATAACCTAGACTTCTGGCACTAAGGACCAACATCAGGCAGGCCCGCGTGGACCGTTTAACAATACCTAATCACTCCCAACGTTAATAGGTGATGTGTGCCACTTTGGTGTAGGTGTGGATCTAAATTGTGGGGACTTCCATGGCCTGGTGAATGAGACGGTGATCAATGGGGCTGTGTGGAACAATTTTGCAACCATGATGAGATTGGGCTTCTTTGATGGTGACCCAACCAAGCAGGCCTACAGGCAGCTAGGCCCAAAAGACGTGTGCACTGCCGCCAACCAAGAGCTAGCCCGTGAGGTTGCCCGCCAAGAGATTGTCGGCAAGGGCTCGTTGCCCCTGTCTGCAGCTACCCATCAAGTCCTTGGCCGTGATCAGACCAAATGCCAATGTGACCCACACAATGCTCGGTAACTGTGAAGGTAAGTGTTGTGTAATGCTGGTTGTACATAATTTTATGCACGTATTCACCTAACAATATCAATGCAGGCAGTCCATGCAAATATACGAGCCCTCTGTCCCCGTCCGGGCTGTGCTGACGTGTCGTGCGGCTCAGCACAGGTGGATGCGGCTGAGCAAGTGTGATTGCTAAGATGGTACAGCTCTAAAACTCGTTTGCACCGTAAATTCGGTAAGAACTGAATTTTTGGTTACCGACTACGAGTCGGTTCGATTTCAGTTCTACATTTCGGTGTTAAACACCGAAATGTTCGGTTCGGTTTTGTTACCGAACCGAAACCAGCCCTACATAATATACATTATCACGATTGGAGCCCACCAAATTGAAGAAGAAAAAAATTCCTGGAACAAATAATTCATGCTACAGAAAAATGACCAAACATATACTTCCAGAAAAATAGTAATCGACCAGACATATAGTTCCACACCAAAAAAATAGTAATCTGACCAAAGCGTATAGTTCCTCACCAAAATAGAACAAAACCCATGAAAAGTGAAATAACAATAGTTACCTTCAAATCATTTTGACTCAAGTTCATCTTCTGTGGTTTTTTTGCTTGAAAGCAAGCATCCATGGAATCTTGCGGCCATACACCGTGTGAGGAGAATCCTCCCCTCGTAGGGATACTCTCGTAGGTGAAACTTGGATCTCTTTGGTCATTCACCATGCTCTGAGGCCATTGGAAGCTCTGCTTCCAATGGTGGGGCATATCCACGGCCGGGAGCAATCTCATTTTCCTTATGGCATTCTCGAGTGGCTTCAGAAGTATCTTTCCAAACGACATTATCCGGCTGGGTTTATCCGATTTCCGGCAGATTTGGGGTGGTTGGGAGACAGGAGACAGTATTTCAAAATAGACTCTAAAATATAGAGAGGACTGATGTTGACTACAATTTCGCCGTTTGGGCTTCCATATTTTACATTTAATTTAAGCCATATCCGTTTTTATCTTTGTTTAGTTATTTCAATCATTTTAATTTGATTTTTTATTCCAAGTAGACAAAGCTGAAATGATTTGTTCAATAAAAAAAAAGTTTCTCAAGATGATATTTAATTTATTAATTTTTTAGCTATTTATATAATAAATTTTATTTATAAAAATATTATATTCAATTCAAACATGTGTATTTTATTTATATGAAAAATACTTTTTGTTGACACCCGAGTTCGAAGAGCCGAACCGGAGACCCCGTCCGGTGAGAAAGTGCCGAGCTGGACCGGAAAACTTTTTGACCTAGACGTTCCCATAAGCCCGTCCGCTAGTTCGGCGTTTGCAACTGTGAAGCCCCGGTGCCGGTCTGAAGAGTGACGGGCTGGGAGAAAGGTTCCCCGGAACTGGAGGAACAAACGAAGAAAAGGTGCCGACTTGGAGTCTCAGAACGGGTCCCTACAATGAGGAATGCCGATCTTGATAATAGTATAATAATGCCACTTGGAGGGTAATCATTGGTTAATGGATGGGACATCCTAGCCTGTAGACCTACTTCCCCTAGCCAAGACATAAAGCCTGCCAGCATTAAATGCCTGTCAGACAATGATGAGGAAAACCTCAAATCGCATTAAATTCTATCAGGGAGGCGCCGAACTACTCTGCAAGAATACTGTCGACACCGGGGCCTACGCCAGCATCCTCTACTATGAGACCTTCAAGAATATGGGGATCGACAGGAAAGAAGTACAGCCCTGCCGGGAGCGGATCCAGGGTTTCAATGGGCAGACCATCGCCCCGGTTGGTCAAGTCACGTTGCCGATCCGGTTCGGAGAAAAGGGGCAGCCCACGAAGACAATCCTAGAAACTTTCAAAATCGTGGACTGCCCAAGCGAGCACAACGCCATTCTGGGCAGGACGGCACTCTACAAACTGAAGGCCGTCGTCTCCATCTTTTATTACTCCCTCAAATTCCCGACTTCCGATGGGGAGGGGACCCACCGGGGGGACCAGAGGGAGGCGCGGGAATGCATCCTGACCATCCCGCGCACCGAAATAAACGTGGCGAACCTTCAGGCAAACGCCGAGGTGACAGACACCGGGTCAGCACGCGACGGTCATAGGGGCAACCGCATGCTGGGAAACCAGACAGGTTCGCACCCCTTGACCCCATCGAGTACCGACCCCACAGTCACGGAACCCAACGCCGGGGCAGACAACTTGGCCCCTGGTGCCGAGATGACGGACCCCATCGAGGACAGAGCCGAGGCCGACCTCGACAGGGACAGGGGGAGAAAGGCTGGCAAAAGACCAATCATGGAGGAGGACGAGCTCGACCCCCGGACACAATACGAGGAAAAACGGAGAACAAAGAGGGCCGAGCCAATGGACGAAGTCGAAGTCATCTTCATTGACGAAGAGACTTGCCAGAAACAACTCCGGATTGGGAGCAGGTTGCCGGGGCCTATGAAGGCCGAGCTGACCGAATTTCTCCGACAAAACGCGGACGTCTTCGCGTGGACCCATGAAGACATGGTCGGCATCGACCCTCAGGTCGCCTGTCACCGGTTGCAGGTCGACCCCACGGTCATGCCGGTTGTGCAAAAGCGGAGGAAGCTCGGCCCCGACCGACAGCAAGCCTTGGAAGAAGAAGTGACCAAGCTCAACGATAATGAATACATTCGCGAGGTCCGGTACCCGACCTGGGTAGCCAATCCGGTACTTGTGAAGAAAAGCAATGGAGCATGGCGCTTGTGCATCGACTTCTCCGACCTCGGGGCATGAGCTAATGAGTTTTATGGACGCGTATTCCGTTACAATCAAATCCCCATGCACCCGGACGACGAGGAACACACCTCCTTGTATTCGGCACGCGGACTCTATTGTTACAATCAAAATGCCAAACATTCGCGCCGAACATCATCCAACCTTCGCAGCCCCTGAAGTCGATATTCAGCCCATAGCCGTTCGCCAAGTGGGGTGTCGACCTGATCGGCCCCTTACCCACCGGAAAGGGCGGGGTAAAGTACGCAGTCGTTGCCGTGGACTACATCACGAAGTGGGCAGAAGCCGAGCCACTTACCACTATCACCGAACAGAAAATGATCGACTTCCTATGGAAATCCATCATATGTCGCTTCGGGGTGCCCAACTCGATAATCACGGATAATGGAAAACAATTTGAAGGGAAGAAATTAGAAACGTTTTGCGAAGAACACGGCATCAAACATTTCTTCTCGACACCTTACCACCCTCAGTCCAACGGCCAAGTCAAAGCCGTTAACAAAATTATCAAACAAGGGCTCAAGGTGCGACTTGAAGCCGCGAAAGGAGCCTGGCCAGAAGAACTCCCGAACGTGCTCTGGTCATATCGCACAACAACGAGATCATCTACGGGAGAGACGCCATTCTCCCTGGCATACGGGACCGAAGCGATGGTACCTGTCGAGCTCGGCGCCCCAACCTTTCGAGTAACCAACTTCGAGGAGGAGTCCAACTCCGAGTCGTTAAGAGCAAGTCTCGACCTGATAGACGAGCACCGGTCACAAGCCGAGCTCAGAAACGCAGCATACAAGAGACGAAGCGAGAGATACATCAATTCCCAAGTCAAATCGCGCTCATATCAGGTCGGCGACTTGGTATTAAAAAGGGTAACAGGGCCGGACCCCGGACCACTGAAGCCGAAGTGGGAGGGTCCCTACAAGATCAGCGAGGTCCTCCCACACGGGGCCTACCGCCTTGAACACCTGGACGGCACCCCCCACCAATACCCGTGGAATTCGGCGTTTTTGAAAAAGTTCTACCAATAAGTCTAGGATAACCTTGTATTTTTGCTTTTATATTTTACTTTGTAAAAGGTGAACAAACCTTGTAAAGATGTATGTTTTCTATTCTTTACTTTGTAACTTTCCCCCTGCCTTTAATAAGTTTAGATTGAGTCGAAGCGGCGTAATTAACATAAGGAACGAAGTGTCGGCCAGGATCAGCACGATGACCTGGTCGGCACTAGCTGGGCCCAACTAGGAAGCCCAGTCAGGCCAATAATACCTCCGAGTCCGAACGCGAGACCGGTCAGGTAAGCTGCCACATAATTATGTGCGGGCCGGGTCAGTACGATGACTCGACTGGCACGAGCCGGGCTCGGCAAAGTAGCCCGGTAAGGCCACTGCACCGATGTAAGGAATGAAAAAATACAAAGTAAATAAAAAGTGCCGAGCCCAATCTCGGGCTCGGCCTCGTAAATAAAAAAGAAGCTCGAGCCCAGTCGCGGGCTCGGCCATGTAAGTACAAGACGCCAAGTTCGATCTCAGGCCCGGCCATGTAAATACGAGTAAATATGCAGAACGGCACCAAGCTCATGCTTGGTCGAAAATCGCAAACATGCATAAGTAAAGAAAGCGCAAAAACACATTCACCCAACGTAAACAAGAATAAGAATGTTCAAACATAAAAGAAATTAGATAAACCATGCATTCGAAAATAAAGTTAGAAATATTCATTACATAGATAAATTGTTTTGAAAAATAAGGCCACAGGCGGCCAAAATATCAAGGCACGCAGGCCCAAAAAACACCCTTAAACAACGAGGTCGGGACCCTCGGCAACAACCTCGGCGCCCGCCCCCGCCTCCTCGGCATCGAGTCCGGTCGCCACCCCGGCCGTCACCGCCTCATCAGCCCCCTTCGACCCCGAGGTGCCGACTCCTGCCTCGGCGTCCGCCGCCGCCTTCGCCGCAGCCGCAGCCTTCTCCGCCTCCTCCATCTCGGCGATCACGGACAGCACAACCCCGCGTCTCGGCCGGGACTCGGGCGCGAACGGCTTGTACCCCGGCAGAAGCTCCCCGGGGGTCAGCCGCCACGTCTCCAGGGAGGGAATGGCGCCAAACTTTTCGAAGCCGACGATGATGTCATCGTCCCAACCCCGGAGCCTCCGAACCACCACGGCTTCATCGGGGTCAACCTCGCAAACCTGGCCTTCGAAATCCAAGTCATGCCGGCCCACCTTCTCAGAGAGGATAGCCCTGAA